ATTTAAAATCAATTTGATTTAATTTTTAATCAAATAATCCCAAAACCCAATCAAACTTTATGTATCTATTATAATTTTATTGATTTTTAAATTTTTTTTTGCGAGTTTTTTAATCCACCCCTAACAACCGATACGGGGAAGATAAGGCAGCGACATTTAGGTCAACGTCAACGTCAACGTCAACATGCAGCTATTCTTATTTTCGTTACAGTTTTTTTTATATATTTGATTATAAATTATATAAGAGTGAATAATTTTTTTTTTATTTTTAAATTTATGATTATTTTGATTCAAAATTTAAATTTAAAATCTCTAATTTAAAATTTAAAATTTTTAACCATTAAATTTTATTTCCTCTGCAGATTATTACTCAAGAAGAAATACTAATCCAGTTACTACAGCAGACCCACGTGTCAGAAAAGGAAAGGGATGACAAAGCATAGAGGGCCAGAGTTAAGGTAAGGAACTAATATGATCACTCTTTTATCTTAATAAATTTTTAATTTTTAATTTTTTTAAATATTTTTTTATTATTTTATTTTAATTAATTTAAAATTTTTAATTTTTTTTAAAAATTTTGAATTAGGACAGTATGGTATGGAAAAGAGAACCATATTGGTGTTTTTATTTAAAGGCGCGCAGGACCCTGTGTTTAAGTCCCTAAACAGCTAAACTTCACCCTTTTTAGCGTGTGAGGCTGTAAGCCCTCAAATAACGAAACATGCGAACAAGCCCTCAAACTACTGGATCGATGCAAATTAGAGGCCTTAGTTAATCACTGCCATTAGTTTTATTTACGACCGTCGAACGACAACCGAAAGATGAAGAATGCAATATCGATCGAGCGATCGCAAGTCAGTTTTGAAGGCGACCCATAAAGTTGCTTATTGTGTAAAGTTACTATTTTATCCACACACTAAAAGGCCAAACAAAAATAAAAAATAAAAATAAAAATAAAAAATCCACCTATTGACATTTAAGAGTCTCTTATCAAAATTCAAGACGCCTCTTTCTTGGAAAATGCCCATCAGTCCATCACACTTTTATCATCTCCCCTTCTTCTGGATAATAGATATTTTGGTATTGAGTTCAAAAAAAAAAAAATATAGATATTTTGGTACAGCCTCCTTTGGTATATTTATTTCACTAGTTCCCTCCATGACATGCCCATTTTACATTGTCCTCATAACTCCACCGTCCCGAGAAGAAAGTAAATTAATGGAGGAGAACACAAGGAATCCCAACTCCTATGAAGACGGTGAAGATGGAGAAGACAGGCAATCCATCAATACAAGTTGTAAGTGTCACATGGCGCTTGCAAAAGAATAAATCTTGAGCTTCTCCTCATCTTTTGGATGTTCGTCTTCTATTAAGGTTTAAGGTTTTTAGTTCTTTTGCTTATATAAACTCCTTACAGTATTCTATTTTTTAATCCATATACAGCAAGTGCAGAGCAATTTGTTCAGGGTGTGCTCCGAAATAGTGGATCCATGAATGGAAGCAGTGAGCAAAATATGCTTGTGATCAATCCGCCCGCAGCTGAAATAGAGCCGACGAGACAGCAACAATCAGATGGTCAACATCAACCAGCAGATATATCGTCTGCAGATTCTCATTTAAGAAGAAATACTCCTCAAATTACTACAGCAGACCGTCAGGCCAGAAAAAGAAAGAATGATAGAGCATACAGGGAGAGAGTCAAGGTAATAATCTTCGCTTTTCTTTTTGTGTGTTTAGCATGTTTGCTTCATACTACACCGGACAGTAAGGATGTTCCTGGTCTCTCTCTGGTGATGTTAAAAATGCACCTAAATTTTCTTGACTAATGGCCCCAAGATTTGAACTTTCACTCAATATATATATATATATATATATATTTGCTTACTAGTAAATTCAACAATTGGGATTGTTTAATTTTTTTTTTTTTTTTTTGTATTAATCTCTTGATATCTGATAATTATATTACGTCCACCTAATTCGGAATCGAATCACATCAAATCTCATTAGAGAGAAAACTCTCCCAAGACTTGTTTTTCCATTCACAAATTTTAAATTTGAAATCTTATTTTAAAAAAACCAAATTTCTTCCACATGGATCAATAGGTTATTGGTGGGGATTGTTTAGTTGATACTCGATGACTATACATATATAGAGGTTATATGTACTATATAAATGAGGAATTAAATATTCCATAATAAGGGTTGCTGAGTTTAGGAATTAAACGCTGGATTGCTTACTGAGTTTTGACATATCATGAGTATTTATGGTATGTGCAGGAAAAACAAAAGCAAATGAAATCCACTTTGGATGAGCTTCAGGCTGAAAATGGATTATTAAAGGCTGAAAATGGATTATTAAACACTGAAATGGAATCCCTAAAAAATGAAAATGTTTGGGAGAATCAACAATTTCAAACGCTATCAGGTGAGCTGGAAGCGCTTAGAAATAAGTTTGATGACTCGCACCAGAAATTTATCAAGCAACTTGTAAGTTTTCCTCTAACTATCACCATCAAAGCTTAGTATCATTTTGTTGTTCAGTTTTAAATTATTTTTATGGTACCATTCAGGAAAATGAACAGCAACTGAAGTTCAATCTGAAGACACTTGAGGGTGAAAATGGACGATTGAAGACTGAAATGGAATCCCTGAAAGGAGAAAATGCTTCGGTAACGCAAAGATTTCAAACAGAATCCGGTGAACTGGATGCGCTTGGAAATAAGTTTGATCATTTGCTGCAGAAATTAAAGGAGAAACTTGTAAGTTTTCCCCTAACTACCAAAGCAGCATATCATCATTTTGTTGTTCAAATTTTGAATTTTTTATGATACCATTCAAGAAAATGAAAAGCGAATGAAGTAAAATCTGGAGGCACTTGAGGCTGAAAATGAACTATCGAAGAGTGAAAAGAATCCCTGAAAGACGAAAATGTTTTCGTGGAGAGAAGTGCTAAGGGCAGTCGCCCTTTGGCGCTTGCTCCACCGCTCTCCCCTATTTTTTTGACACGTAGCAAAAGACTAAAAATTTTAACTGGCAACCGATTGCAAGCTATTCCTCACCATTTTCAGTTTCGTTTTTGCCCTATGCACTCTCTCTTCCCCGACAGTTCCCGTACCACTTTGTCCAATAATATTGTTAGATTTCTAAGTTGCTAAGTCCCCCCCTAAAAAAAAAGTCTCAAAATTCAATACCTAGATTTGCTTCTCTGTCATCTCCTCTAGCACTTCTGTTCCTTCAACTTCTTTCTCCAACATCTTTAGCCTCCACAAGATCAACCAAACATGATGCAAGTTCACTCTTTTCAAATTTTTGATATGTTTAAACTGTATTTATACAAAATCCAAAGCAGTAATTAAAGATTTCACAAGGTCATTAATCTTCAAATCTCATTTCTCCAAACATAAAACAGAGAACAAAATTAACAAAATCCAAGTTCATTACTCTTAAACCAAAAAAATTTCAACTTGACCCAAATAATAAAACTCACAAATCAAGCTAAAATAAACAAAACCCAGCAAAGAAATCAAGAAATGATAATCCATACTTGCACAAAAAAACAACACAAACACTTCCAGAAGTATCACCCACCACGATTGAGATTAAGAAAGCCCAAGCAACAGATGTAGAACTGAGGGGGGTAAAAAAACCCAAGGAATGGTTAACAAGTTATGAGGATGGAAATAAAAAGCAGAGGAGTGAGAAGCAGATCTGATCTATTTTCTGATGAAGACGAATTAAAGGAAGGATAAGACGACCGATAGAGAGGAAAGAGAAAGGATTAAGAGTAGAAAGCACTGGGGCAAAGAGGAAGATAAAGGAAGCGGAACCGACTATAATCGGTATCCGGCTTAAATGATTAACATTCTGCTACGTGGCAAAAAAATTGGAGAGAGTGGTGAAGCGAGTGCTAAAGGGCGGCTGTCTTTAGCACATCTCTTTGGTGAGTTATAGATTTGATACTCAATTAAAAAAATTGGATGAACATAGAAATAATTTGGACGAATCGAACCATAAATTCATCAAGCAATTTGTAAGTTTTCCCCTAACTACAAAAGCTTAGTTTTCTTTTAATTTGTTTTTTTAGTATTGAATTTTACTAATCTTTAATTTCATTATGGTACAGGATAATGAACGGAAGTTTAATCTAGAGAAACTTGAGGTTGAAAATGAATCCCTAAAGATAGAAAATGCTTTGGTGAATCAAAAGTTAGAAACTCTATCAAATGAACTTGACAAATATAAGGAGAAGTACGAGAAGACACATGTAAGTTTGCCAGAACCGAAAACTTGTATAGAATTGTTTAGTACTATTTTTTTTTTATTTCAATTTTCATGCTGATATGAAAATTTTATATGATTAGACTATTAGAGTTCTTGATTTTGGCAAACGAAATATTGGGGGGCTTCCCTATCCTTCCTGAGCAGTTCAATGTGGTTAGGACTCACTAGCGGAGACAAAGGGCCTGAGGGGGCACAAGTGCCCCCCTAAACTTTTAAAAAATAAAATTTTGATCCTTTAAGTTATATTTTTATTATTTTAATTTTTGTTTATTTCATACGTTATAATTTTTTTTTAACCCTTGTTTTTTCAAAGATTAGTTTTAGTGATTATGAGAAAAATGAAGAAAATAAAGATAAAATATAATATAATAAAAATAAAGATTAATTGAATATAACGTTGCTCAATATATATTATCTTAGGATTTTTCTAATCTATATATTAAAAGTATATGTTAAGAATACATTTTTAGTATTATTGTTATTAAAAAAATAAAAGTGGACATTTATTTCATCAATTGTCTAATTAAAATGATCCACATGATATAAGCGATGAAATTAATATCAACTTTTACCATTTTCAATACTAAGTTAATGTCAAAAAGATGTATTAATTACATCCTTAACTTATGTTTTAAAGAGTCAGGTTAGAAAAATCCATCATTCTTTTATAAAATAGTTGGTTATTATTACATTTTTTTGTTTATCAATACTCTTTTATTTTGGATTGCATAGGCAATCCTCTTCATCCTTTAACCCACCCACTCCACCCGTATGTCATACTATTTAAACTCAAAATCTTTATTTTTAAAAGAAGAAGAATATCCTTCTACTTTTTTTTTTTATTGTTTATGTTTATTAGTATTCTTCTATTTAACATATATTTATTTTATAGAAACGATTGATACACCATTTAATTTGATACACTTGTTAACACTCATTGGTTCAGTCATTAAATTCTGCAAGTGAAACTTGTCTTGAACTTAAATTCAAAAATAATAATTTCTTAATAAGTGTATTGTGAAGTGTGTTGAATCAGATAATGTACCAATTATTTTCTTTATTTTTATTTTTAGTTGATGTTATATATATAATGCCATACTATCAATTAATATTTAGTTTATCTATAAAGACTAACAAAAATCTTAATTCAAAATATTTTTTTTTATTAAAATTTTCCTGTTCATTGATTTTTTTAATTAATGCAAAAATGTATATCTTTTTTTTTTTTTTCAAAAATTCATTTGGCCCCTCTAAAAATATTTTTGGCTACGCCACTGGTTAGGACTCTCAGGAACTCTATGGCAACAGTGAAATTCGGCTGCAAAATTCTTTCTTTCTGGAAACCAAAGAAAATCCTCCTTTTTTTTTTTTTTTTTAGGGATTTTCTATTTTGTGCTCCACACAGTATAAGAAATCATTATTAAATAATAATTATAATTTTTTTTGAAAAGAGTAAAATTTCATATTAAAAAAATAACTTTTAACTTTTAATTTAAAATTATTTTTTTAATATAAAATTAACCAATTAAAATTTAACACATGACATTTATAATAAAAATAAAAAATTAACTTTATCATTTTCAAGATAAAAAGTAATAATCATTGCATAATTAATACTCCTTAGGGCACAGATGGATTAAAAAAGCGAGCTTCTCCACTGCATGAAAACAACATATCTAGAAAATCTTATTTTCAGTCTTCGAAGTCTTGAAAACGATATCATAAGGTGCCTTGCTTTTCCTTTTGATCTTACTGTCTTGATTTGATAATATTGTGGTACATTCAGGAAAGAAAACGAGAATTAGAGTTAGATCTAAAGACACTGCAAGCTGAAAATGGAAGATTAAAGGATGATATTATTGAAGCCCTAAAGAAAGACAATGTGTTTGTGAATCAAGGGATTGAAACTCAGTCAAAGGAGCTGCGCCAACTTGGAAGAAAACTTTACAAACGGGAAGTATTAGAAAAGGAGCTAGTAAGTCTTTGCCCCTAACTAGAGGAGCCTTTGTTTTTCCTTTTTCTGGAAAAAAAAAAAAATTAATACATGCTTCTTACCAATTTAAAATTTAAATTAACAAGCAGGCCCCAGAGAAATCTTGCAGCTGCAGACAAAGTACAGCCGGTGAAAGCACCGACTTCAGCAGAGATTTAGGGCAATACCCCAATGTGGAAACAGAAGGTTGTATGCAGGTAGTCCCTGATACAGATTAAATGAAAGATAGGTGAGAAAAATAAGGAAAGCCGATTAGCTCTTGATAAATTCTAGAGAAAATACAAGGGAAATCTAGTAGAAATTGTAAGAAAGTTCTCCGATGTATTCCACAATATAATGCTCTAATTCCAAAGGATTATAGATGCTTTCTCAAGAGAAGATTACAGAGGATATAGGGAGGATAAAGAAGATAACAAATTTCTGAACAAACTGCAAAGATGGAGATGCAGCCTTTATATACCCCAGTCATGGAGCCCTACAGCTAAAACGACAATTATCATTGTTAATCGCATGTGGCTTCCAGCTCGGCATCCAACTCCACAACAAATGCCATGTCATCTTCATTTTTCCACGTATCAATTCCCTTCCCTTCCCTTCAAAGACTCCTTGCCCTCAAGGATGTGATGGCTGCTGCAAATTACGAAGGTACTATTAGGTTGCTTCTCTTGAACAGGCACCTAAATGTTGATAACCACCATGAGAACTGCTCCACGTCCTCTATCCACCAATTTCCTGTGCAAATTATCCATAACATGCCACAAGGAATTGGAGAGAAGCACAGCTAGCAATATAATAGACCTTCTTAGCATATGTTCATGCCTTGGAAAAGATTCCATTCTTAGAGTCTTGAAGTACCAAATGGTAGCCCCAATAATCTTTGTCCAGTGAAATTCCTTCAGGTCACAACTGTCCATGGAAAAAGTTAGAATATCATTAAGTTAGCCCCAAGAAGCATATGACATGCTAAAATTTCTGTCCCAATAATGGAAGCTACTAAAGTGCTTGACTAATCCAATTAAAAGTTCTGACATTCTGCACATGACATGCTTATCTGGCTACTGATACTGTGCAAGCACTTGCCAGCTACCATTCCCCACATGATTGCCATCACCAAGTATGAAAACGATAGCTTCCTTAAATGGTGCTTTTATGTGACTGCTACCCGAACTATAGAATGACTCAGGGCCATGAGAATGAAGTCCAAAATAGGAATTAATTCCAAAAATTAGCTTCTCCCCCATTAACGCTTCCACAGTTCTTATCAATAACAACCCCCTAAGTACATATTGCTGTTTCCTAAGAATAAGCTTCATAAATAGAATTTTAAAGTTCCATAAAATGTTTTCAATAGAATTTAACAAAGAAATCCTCAAAACCAAGTCATATCCCAGTGTTAAAACCAAGGCATCCGTGTGAAAAGGTTTTACATGCAACCACCAAAAGAATCCCTGCCATCTATGGATGCATACCATAATCTTTCCACTTTCAATAGGAGCTGCTAATAGAGAATAAACACCATCCACACCTTTGCACTTGAAAAATAAATAATCAAATTTATCTAGAAAATTCCTCACAAGATCCTGAACTTTGAGTTGGCCCCCAGCATCTTTGAAATTAGAAAAATTTTTCCAAGCAAAAATGCCACTTATACTTGAACTTCCAATCATTTCGGCAGATCTAATGAATGAATGCCCATAAAAAATGAACAAAGTTTTTATATCAGCAAGTGATAGAGAAATTGACGGGCTTGAAATGGATAAGATAGAATTTTGAGTATCCTGCAACCCCTCAATTCCATCCATAGCACCACCAAATCCATTTCCTTTTTCCCATTAAGTTCTGCATCCAAAATAATGACAGCATCACCATTGTCACTCTCCATTTCCATATCTTCATTTTTATTAACAATACCCAGGAAGAAGACAAAAGACTAGGCAAACTTATAATTCCTATCAAAATATAACCCCCTAACTTCATTTGTTACTGTCCCACCAAAAAACTCCAATCTAAATAAGCTTGCAATCACATCATTTAATCTCAGCACATTATATGCAAAGGCCAAATCACATAAACTCATTAATTTTTCATATGCACCAAGTAGAGTTCGTGGCTTCATACACAAGGCTATACCAATATTCCTTTGAAGACCACTAATAGATAAGGGTTGTTTGTCAATTATACCTGGCTTGGGAAACAACAAAGCCAATGGTTCTTCATATGCATCTGCCATTCCTTTTTGACCCAACGTAACCAAAGAAGCATTAGAACTTTCATGAACTTTTACCCTGCACCGTGACTTCAATCTATCTGGATACTATCTCCTTTTTGCAGCCATAAAGTCTTTAATCACCACGGTTGCTTACATCCATACCATAATTCACCAAAATCATCACCAACACACCCGAATTTAGGAAATATGACAATAACTGATCCAGAAATTGGCGTGGTTTCAAGTCCAAACAACTCAGGCATTTCACCAAACAGCTTATGGGTAGAAGAGTTGAGTTCCTTGAAAGTCTCTTTAATCTCCACGAGCTGGTCTCCTTGAGACAACAATGTACTCTGTTCTTCCATTGCATGCGTGATTTCTAAGGCAGGCGGTTGATTTTGAACCATTCTAGCGGACTCGTTTGTGGGTTCATCTTCAGCAACCTCACAGGATATTGGGAAATAATCTTCAACAATAGGAATCACCAGTGGTGGATTCTAGTCAAGGTCCACACCTGCCAATTTATCTCGCTCTTCGACGTTGGTTTCCTCTTGCTGTGCTTCCACCACTTGCGCAATTTCATCTACCGCTCGCGAAATTTCTTCTCGTTCAAGTAGCTATTCCAACGTCTTCCTAGCAAGATTCTTGTAGGAAAGCCAAGCAATATGCATCATACAAGGATTGGGCTTTGAACAACCTCACAGATGGCTGGATGGCTTCCTTTAATCCATCAACAAAGAAACAGATTGCTTGCTTTTCAGTTAGTTTCGTTTGGTGAAGGATAAGATCAAATTGCTCCTTAAATCCGCTCACTATACCCGTCTGCTTCAATGCCGTCAGATCTACCAAGGCCACCAAATGTGCCCAAGGATCTACACTCTCCTAAACTTGAATCTCTGCCATGTTCGAGGAAAGATATGCTCTGATACCAAATGATGCAAGATAAAATGAAAGAGAGATGAGAAAAATAAGGAAACCAATTAACTCTTGATAAATTTGTCTAGAGAAAATACAAGGGAAATCTAGTAGAAAATGAAGAAAGATTTCTGATATATATTCCTCAGTATATTACTCTGAAACCCGAGGATTACTGATATTTTCTCAAATAGAAGATTACAGAGGATAGAGGATAATAGATGATGAAGAACAATTTCTGAACAACTCCCAAATGAATGACACAACCTCTAATTACTATTAACCTACACTAAAACGACAACAAGGCATGAATAAAACGGTAACACATGCTAAAGAAATACACTAATCCAATGTGGTTTCCAAATCAGCATCTAAGTGCCACGTCAGCTCAAAATTCTCCCACTTATCAATTCCCTCCCCTTCAAAGCATCCTTGTCCTCAAGGATGAAAAGGCTGGAAGTATCATGATGACCATCAAAGGGTTCCCCTTTAGCAGCTTGTAGAAGAATTGGATTGAGAACCATTGTACAAGACCTGGTAGGTTTTTTTTTTTTTTTTTTTAAGCAAGGACAGCTTATGGCATTTTGTTGCAGAAATCAACTCAGTGCAAACCATGAAGGTAAGAACATATCATTAGGCTTGCCTTCCACCCACCATAAAAACTCTTGGCTCAAGTATGAATGGTTAAGGGAATGGCTAGCATTTGTATCCAATTTCAAATAAGCAACATTTTTGAAAGTCTCACCAGAAAAATACCCATTGTCCATGCTCAAGGGAATTGGCCAACGTACCAGCATTTGAATGACTATTTCCCAGCCTCTATCCACCATCTTCCTGTGCCAATTTATGGCCACAAGCCTTGGTAATGCAGTAGAAATAAACTCGGTATTAGATGGTTGATCATGGAAACCAAGTTTCTTCTCCAATTTAAAGGCTAGCACTGTGAAACAATTGTGTATAGGCTGGTACTCATGCTGCTTTACAGACTCACAAAGAAGCTGGATTGTGGTGCTATAGCCATTGAGCAAATTTAGATACAGCAAATGAGCAACATCGATACAGTAAACATGCCTAATTGAGTGTACAAGATTATACTGACTCTGTACAAATAGAAGCTCTTGCAAGCTACCATACCCAGCATAATTTGCTCTGATTTTTTTTTTTTTTTTTTGGTAAATATTTGCTCTGATACCAAATGATGCAGATAAAATGAAAGATAGTGAGAAAAATAAGGAAAGCCCGATTAGCTCTTGATAAATTCCTCTACAGAAAATACAAGGGAAATTTAGTAGAAATTGTAAGAAAGATTTCCGATCTATTTCTCAATATAATGCTCTAATACCAAAGGATTAAAGATGCTTTCTCAAGAGAAGATTACAGAGGATATAGAGCGGATAAAGAAGATAACAAATTCCCTGAACAAAACCGCAAAGATGGAGATGCAGCCTCTAAATATCCCAGTCATGGAGCCATACAACTAAAACGACAACACAAGTAAAATAAATTGACAAATATCATTGTTAATCTCATGTGGCTTCCAGCTCGGCATCCAACTCCACAACAAATGCCATGTCATCTTCATTTTTCCACATATCAGTCCCACTTTAGGATGTTGAAAATTGAAATTCCAGTGAACGTTGTGTTTTCTACCGGGGACTTTTTAGGAACAACCGAAGCATTGATTAATGGGATTTTTATTTTTTAAATTGATTGCTGTTTGTTGATTGTTGCTTTGATGATCAGACTTTAATATACTAAAAGCAAGTGCCAGAATCATGGTGGTCGGACTCGGTCTCGCTTTTAGCTTTTAACCTCGAAGTTTGTTCATCTCATATTCTCATTTGTTGGTTATGGATTCAGATTAGGGAGTTTTTTTAGTTTAATGAAATATAGCAGCCTTGTTTTTATTTGAATAGAAAAAATGAATTTTTTTATTTTAAAATTCAAATTGTATCATATAATAAGATTAAGGTTCTTAGATGGAGAGAAAGGTATAGTAATAATAGTTCTTTTCAATCTAAAAGTAATTGTTTTGTTATTCAGTTGATTGCAAAATAGTTTTTTAAAAATAATTTAATGTCTTTAATTGATTGTCTATTTAAAAACAGACTTGTCTAAATTTAGAAATTGTTTGCTTTGCATGTCAACTTAGAGAAAGTTGACACTAGTCTACTGGCATTAGAAACTTTAAGAGCATGGTAAATGACATCAATTTTATCATTGACTAGAAACTTTAGGAGTATAGTGAATTATATTAATTATAGGCTGATAAAAAAAATCGCATTAATTATAACATTGATTAGAAACTTTAGGAGTATAGTGAATTGTATTACTTATAGGCTGATAAAAAAAAATCGCAATTAATTATAACATTGACTAGAATATATGAATGGCTTAAGTCGAAGTTTAGGGCATTGCTCTCTATTTTCTGTTGGCAACCAGATGAAACAAGGGAAAGGAGAAAAAGAAAATTAAGAGCACAGTTAAACAGGCCACTTTAGGAACGGCAAGACCAGGAACGTTGAAGGATAACTGCAACTCCATCAAAACTGACATGATTGCATAGTGATATGGAAGAACTGAAGTATGCTTAAGTTAAGTTTTGCTATTTGATTTGGTATAACTTTGCTGCTTAATTATGTCAATTTCCATGAGCTGTTGATTTTCTGAAATTGTTTTTACATTGAACGTAACTAATGCATTGTTCTAAGTTCTGTTATCATTGTGTAGACGTCTATGGAGGTGTACCTGGGTAGGTCCTTAAACTGTTTTGTCTCTGAAAAATGCGATATCGATCGTGCCATTGCAAGTCACAGAACTACATAAGGACTTGCATCAATTTTTTTCTTCTAGTCAAATGAAATAAGAAGGTAATGGCTCCCTACCACTCCTAAGTTAGTTGCTTCTTCTTCTTTTTCGTTTTTCTTTTTTCTTTTTTCTTTTTTAGGTTACACAATAACAAAATTTTTTTCATATTTTTTAACTAACACTAACTATATATTATATGATTTAGCTGATAAAATATATATATTGTGTGATTTAAATTAAAATTTTTTATTTTTATTAAAAAGATATTATCACTAAATTATTTAATTATTTAATACCTCTCCTAAAATGAAAGTAAGAAAATAATTATTTTTTTGGTCATGCTCCCTCCGGTGCAAAGAAAATACGTGCAATTTATCCTTTTTAAAGATTTGATAAAAAAAAATAACTATTCTTAGGGGGTGAGATAATACAGATATGGATTAGGTATTTGTTTATATCTATATTTAATTTAAATAATAATAAGTATAGAATTTAATATTTATACTCCACTGAAAATTTTAAAAATAAATTAAATTTAAAAAAATTAAGTTTTAATGGTTAATAATCATAGAATAAATCACCATAATATGTGAGAGATTCAAAGTTTGAAAGTTCAGTTAAAAATAAAGGACATTTATATACTTCACAACACAGTTGCATGCTCTTGACATTGGGATTTTGGTTTATTATTTATTTTTTTTCGAAGGTTTTGGAAATTTTGAGAGTAAATCGATTTGATTTTTCTTTTAAGGGACTTGTTGAGTTTTGAACTGCACGACCTTAACCCAGTCAAATGTTTGACTAAAGGTTAAAGCCTAATTAGCTTAATTACTTCTATTCAATCAGTGAACATTAAAATAAAAAGATTTATTATTATTATTATTGTATTTTTAGAAATGGAAGGGACTCGAAAACAATTGGATTATGGAAGGAAAGAAAAGCGTTGCAGACAAAAAGAAAGGCATACGGGCCTAGGGCCCAACCTAGAGGCCAGAAAAGGACTTGAATATCAATCCTAACTAAATTGGCCCAATCTAGACCCATAGCTCAGACGAACTGAAAATATATCAATGGCTAGGGAAAGGATTAAACAGAGGCAAACTCAGATTTTGTGTGGAATTGAAACCCAGAACATGCAAGATCCGAATTGGTAATAAACATAGATCAGCTCTTCCCTGGTAATACAAGGTCAAGCATAACATTCAAAATTCCTGAAAAATAGAACTAAACAAGGAGCCAAAGTTGAGAAAACTCAATGTTGAGTTGATCCTCCAACATGATAGACTCACAATGCCTGCTTAAGTGCTTAATCAACACCTACTCTGCAAACATCCGAACCACAAAGATTATAGGGACATATTCAAGAAAGTTTCAGTTTTCCTAGACAAACACCACTCAATTTAGAAAAGGGAAATCACAGCAGCAAGTTTACATCCAGATATTCATCCAAAAAATAATTCACAGAAAATATAATTATAGTTCTGCAATTTTTCATTGGCTGGAATAAGAAATTGCATAACAAGTAGGGTCACCGTACCTTAGGGAGCTCACAACTCCCTTCTATTTCCTGAACTCCTCGCCGATTTGGACTAAAAGATCATCCGAAAAACAAAGAAGCCGAAACCAGTCCTCGAATCCCCTTCCTCTCCGACCTCTTCTTTTTTCCATTTTAGGTTACAGTAACCGTGATCAATGCTCAACATATTGCATTAATTAACATGCATTCCATCATTTGACATTATTCCAAAATTTCTTTATTAAAAAATTTTGTTTGTTATGAGGCGAAAAAGATTAAGAATACCTTGCTTTATGTTCTCAGGAGTGTCCATTTATATTCATCCAAATTAATGGAATTCATGATTTCTCATTCATAATTAAAAAATATATATTAATATTTAAAATGATTTTATCACTAATATAAATTTTTTTTTATAATTTTAACTTAGGAATTTGAATCTGTGCTCTCTCTCTATTTTTTGTTTTTTTGAAAGGCAGCTTGAATTACACACTTTAATATATAAAACAAAATTGAGAACAAAAAGTATTTTAAATCTTATCTGGCTTGGCTGTTTTTCATGGTTTATCCGGTTATAAAGTAATCTTTTAAAAACAAAAAGATCAGGTGGGAGCGGTTCGATCAGATGTTGACGTTGGATTGGTTCGTCTACAAAATTAATTAATTTACCTTAAGTTTCCTCTTCTTTTTTTCTTTTCCCTTTTTTTTTTTTTTTTTAGTCTTTAGTTTAATTAAATGACGTTAAGTTCACAGTGTGCGAGTTATTAGTTCAAAATTAAACCTGTGGCTCACGAGGACCATAATCCTTAACCTAATGCCGACAATCATTGAATTTCGTTTATCTAGTTAATTTACCTTAACCTAACGACTCTGCTTCCAAGATTTACACTCTGTTTGGGTAAAAAATAGTAAAGAAGAGAGGAAGGGGAATGGAGTATGGAGGGAAAGAAAGAGAAAGGTAAGGGAAGAAAATAGAAAAAAAAATGATTTATATTAATTTTATTTGAATAAATAAAAATGAAGAAAGGGAAGGAGAGGGAAGGATTTTTATGATTTTATATTTAGATAAGTAATGCAAAAGTAAAAAGAAGGGAAAGTTTTAAGTAATTTTAAATTTATAAATTTACTCTTTAAACTTCTAATAGGATTGCCTATTCTTTCTTACTTGTTTACATATATTTTTTGTTGAATTCATTCAATCAATTTGTTATCCACCACATTTTGTGAGAAGGGAACTAGGCTACTGACCATATGGCTTCTTTGGTTCATAATACGGCTTTGGGTTAAAAAACTAGTAAATGAAGATTAAAGGGAAAAGAATTGTTGGCCAAAAAATACAAAATAAAAAATTTAACAAAGAAATAGTAAATGAAGCAATTAGTAAACCATGAATTTGAAAATGAAAAGCAAATAATTTTATTACATTGTAATCTAATTGATGTTAATAAACAATAAAATAAAATAATTAATAAAAACCAAACTATAAAAAAATTATTCAAACATAACTTCCAATGGATTCAAAGTAGATTAGTCAAATTAAAAAAATAAAGATGATGATTGTGCCCAAGAATTTGATGATTATGAAGTATTGAAAACAACTCTTATAACAATATCCATGTGTTTCCTAGGTGGATATTCTAGTACTGCTCTTAATTAGACCTGGCAGATGGGTAGATTGGGTTGGGTTGGATTGGGTTAAGGTTAGGTTTGATTAGGATCGAGTCAAAACGGGTCACAGATCAAAACGATTTGGATTAAAACGGGTCATAGGTCAATGAAAGCTAATCCTAAACCACCCATCACGAGTCTCGGGTCAACCCGTGGGTTGATCCAATTGAATTTTTTTTCCTTTTTTTCTCTATAATTTGTACCTATTATCATC